ATGTAATCATGATTTTGTGTGCATTTACTTTATTGATATTCCCCTTCTCACAGGTGAGTCTTTGTTTGTTTCTTTTTTGCTAAATAAAAGTTGTTTTCTCATATAACGAATGATGATGTTGTTCGATTTCAATCGACATACAAGTGGACTGAAACTTGAATATTTTATTTTATTTAATAAAAATTTTTGTTTCGAACGGATTAGGTGCATGCAGTTATTTTAGTTATGAATTTATTCGAAGTAATCAAACAAGTATGTCATGGCAAATGGTTAATTTACGTCGTTCACTTGAATTTCGCTATTATTCACGAGAAAAGAATTGCTTGGGAAATTATTCATTTGTTGCAAAATCTGCCATTGTTCAACCATTTAATTATAATGCATCTGAACAAATTCATTTAGCTTATGGTAATCGAATCGACCAAATATTTGTTTCATATGTAACAAATTCTTCCCAGTACATACATAAATGTCATTATGATTTGAATCCATTATCGCTTCAGTGGCGTGCTCAAGGAACGACAACCACTTATAAAGCATCGGATATGTGCGAAGGTAAAGCAAATATTCCTGATCCACAAACATTTATTGATCCTGGCTATATGCATACGATAATGCTTGAAAATATTCGTCCATCAACTACATATTTTTATCGAGCTGGAAACGATCAACATGGTTGGTCATCAATACTTTCATTTACCAATCGTCCAACCAATGATGCTAATGCAAAAGTAAACATCATTGTCTATGGTGATGGGGGTGCAGCACCCGTACATCTTGGTGCTAAATCAACAATGGATCGAATTCGAGCACACTTGATGGTCGACAATATCACATGTGTATTACATATGGGTGATATCAGTTATGCACGAGGTATTGGTGCACTTTGGAATGCTTTCATGACTCAAATCGGTCCAATTGCATCTCGTGTGCCATATATGGTTGTAATTGGAAATCATGAATATGATCATGTCACAGGTGGAGATAAAGATCCTAGCGGAGCACCAGGTCCCGGAGGATTTCGGCCATCATGGTGAATGATTGTTTCAGCATTCAGTTGAAAATTTTTTTCTTCATCCAAACGTTTTTGACTTTGTAATAACTTACTTTTTTTATAATTAGGGGTAATTATGGTTATGATTCAGGTAATGAATGTGCTGTTCCAATGGTACATCGTTTTCGTTCACCATCCAATGGTAATGGTCTCTTCTGGTATAGCTTCGATGTGGATCCTGTTCATGTTCTTTGCTATTCCACGGAACATGACTTTCTTCCTTTATCACTACAATATGCTTGGATTGAACGTGATCTCAGTTCTGTAGATCGCTCTCGCACACCATGGATAATTGTTGAATCACATCGACACATGTATTGATCGATAGTACGCGATGTCGGAGATCCATTAAGAGAAATGTTATAAAAGTCTCTGGAGCCCATATTTTATACATATCATGTCGATATTAATCTTTTTAGACATATACATTCCTACGAACGATCATGTCGAATGTATCAAGAAAAATGTGTCGATAATGACATTGTACATGTATTGGTCGGAATGGGTGGCCACAAACTAGATTTCGATACATACACAGAATAAAAATGAAGTTTGTATCATGATAGCCAGTTTGGTTATACTCGAATTTCGATTAATAAAACTTATTTAAGATTTACTTATCATCGAACTGTAGACAATGCAATACTTGATCAATTTGAACTAACAAAATCGTCTGCCAGGAGAACAAAAGCTTTTATTATACTATTTTTTTCTGAAAAAAATCATTTTTATTCAATGAATTCAAAAATAAAAATCGATCGTGCATCTATATCGATAAAAATTATTGTCTGTGATGAAGTCTTAAATTATTTTAATTGATACAATATAACTCAATACGTTCAGCTACGCTATACTGTTAAAAGTGGGGACAAGAGGCAGGATGTGGATCAAAACTGCCAACCTAACTTGCTGTCTAGCAATCGCTTATCAGACTAAATTTGAAATTTCAGTCTGACCGGTTCATGTAAAGTCGATAAAATTTTAGCAAAAAAAATGTTACCTTTTCACTATGATGATGAGTAACAAATGCTTATTGGCTAAGTCTTATGAGTTATTTCACGCTAAATTGCTTCTGACGTTCAAAAATGTAACTTCTGTTTTTTTTAAACCACTGACTACTAATCAATTTTTATAGGAGTGGCTTCTAAGTGTTAGGCATCAAATGTTAATGCATCTTCGTACTATTTGAAAATACTTCACGAAGTCTTTGGGTTTTAGTAACTAATACTTAGTACTGTCATCATGAAATCAGCTTTGACGCGAATTGAGCTACATCCACAATTTTAATAATTTGAATGAGTTTGTCACGTAAAATGCATTGTTTCACTAGGTACTCTTCTTCTCGTGAACATTCGCAAAAAAAAACAACAAAAAAGAAAAAGATATACTCAATAGATCAACAGAAAAATTAACATTAAGAATAAAATGAGAATGGATCATTCAAGAAAAGAGAATTATGAAAATTTATGTGTATTGACTAGATTTTCTATTAATATAAGAAGTTCGTATCTGTCTCAAACCATGGCATAGCAAGGTAATGATTGATAAGTATCTTTCCTTAAAATTTGCTTTGTGTAAGAAATATGATAGTGCAAAAACATCGAGACAAATGACCATCAAATGGTTATTATTCAAAGAACAACAAGTTATTTGTTGATTTTGAGTTATCAAATCTAAGTAAATTGAATAATATCATTTAATAGTGCTTCTCGAATATAAATTGAAACGAATTTCATTTTGTTGATTGTTGACCATTATTGCCAAATCTTGATTATTCACTGTACAATGGAGAATAAGTTAATTGGTCTTATAAGAAACAGGTGACTGATGTTGTTCCTTGAATTTAACTAAAGACTGAAGAGCATATTCACAAATAGATGATACATCTCAATTCCATGTAAACAAATACAAATTATAGTTTGATCATGTTTCACCATAAATGTCAACTGTACCAATATAGTGAGTAAGTAGAAATAGACAAAGTGTTATGATCTTGTCATGCAAAATCAAAATATTTTTCTCAATCATTAAAATAAATTGATCAAGTGTATTTGATTAGAATGAATGATAGAGATTAGCATAAATTCATTGTCGATCATATATACAAAGAACATTGTTTTGAATTACTACAAGATGATCATTATTTGCCGCTACACAATCACTATTCTCTTTAAATTTAGTCATTTCTCCTTCTTCTTTCAATTGATTTATTCAAAGTCGTCATCGAGTTTAAATTTTCGTTTTGTTATTTTTTGATCGAGGAATCTAGCGAATTCTTCTGCCTTTTTTTCATAAGATTCATCGATCAGGCGATGTTCTTCTTGACGTCACTTGTCCGTGTCTTGAAAAAACAACCGAATTTTATATAAGACAATTTTTTTCTTGGAGATAATCGGAAGGATGCTCGATTTTGTTTTTGATTGCTAATAGTTGAGCTTCTAGTACACTCAAACTTTTTTCAAACTATTTGCACAAACAGATTTTTGACAAAACTTATCATAATCCAAATAAAGAAAAAATAAATGTCATAGAGATAAAACAAAACAAACTAGTATGATTTGACCGATAACAATAAGAGTAAGATTGGAGGTATTAAAAAATATTGTTGAAGAAATTGTACAAGTCTTTTTGATTATTTCCAAGTTAATATAGCTGAAGAAATTCAAACTCATTCAGATGATTTGGCTCGTTCAGATGAAAAATTGATAATTTTTGTGATATTTACTTTTGAATATCAAGGTTTACGAAAATTCTTTGGTCAGTTGCCATGACTGTTTATAAGTCAATAAACACTTTATTTCAATATACATTAGTTGAAGAGGAGCTAAAATACAATAAATTCCTTCATTTTTCGAACAAATCATTTAAAATGTCTACATCTGTGTACTAGCTGTTATCGATTCTATAATACACGAAGTAAAATTCCTGTTTCTATTTTCTACTTTGGCGTCTAATAGAGACGAGATCAGAAAAAATTCTTGTATTCTTGAGTAATATTCAAAGTCCGTCGAGATGGGTGTGGGTGAGGGTGTATTTGTCGCTTTTTCCATAAAAGACACCCAAACCCACACCCACACCCACACCCACACCCAACCACACCCACACCCAACCACACCCACGCCCACACCCACACCCACACCCAACCATACCCACACCCACACCTATAGCAACGCCACACCCCCACACCCCACACCCTAATTCATTTTTTTACGTACATATTAAGTGAAAAGTATTAATAAAAATTCTTTTTTTTCCTAGTTTATTGCCTTTTGTAGCAATCGACTATTTTTGTGTTATCTTTCATGACATTTTTTACCTAGCGATTGTGTAATGAAATTGTCATTTCATTACTTGTACAAAATTCAAGACTGTGTCTGATAGTATAAAAATGAATGACTTAATTGCTCGTATTAAAGAAGAGAAAAACTGAAAGATGTTTTAATAGAACTTGTCAGTTCCGAAATTTTTCGGATCTTCACCCAATAATCAAACAATACTTTAATATTCTCAATACAATTTTCTATTCGAAAATAGAGAGTCACTTCGAAGATACGAGACTAACTTGATAGACTCCTAATGGAAAACTCTCTTGTGTTCATCTGCTGTCACCAAAAGAAATTTCTATCGTATTCATCTCGATTGATAGTATACATATGATATTTTATTGATGAACAATTTAAAAAAAAATAAACCAAGAAGTTCTAGATATGAAATTTAATCTCAATTAGTTAGTAGCTTATTATTCAAGAGTATCTATTTAAAGAGTGAAGTTTCTAAATTCATTACGAATGAAAAGAATATCACAAAGAATACTATTACTTACAATAAAAATATAGAAAAGATTGTATTTTAATACAAAATGCAGGTTTTAGTAGATTTTATACTATGCAATGGGCACACTTTTATCCTCTTCTCTACACGATCATTTTGCATTTATTTCTGTCTACACTGTAAAAACGATAAAGAGAAAACATTCATTCTCTTCTTCTCTATGTTCATTTTCATCTATGCTAATAATACTATACATTCTTTCGATATATCAAGATGTTTTTTTTTCTTCTACATTTAGTTTTTCTTTGTGCATTGCAAAAAGGTAAATAAAACATTGTTCTCTTGTTTTCTATACGTACATGTTGGATGAAAGTCACACTATTCCACGAAATTGTAATTGTATCGTATGACTTCGTCAAAATTATTTCAATACAAATACCAAATAAATTATTATAGTTGATATTTTATTTTCAAAAATATTCATTTAATTTTTCTAATGAATAAACATCGAAGAAATTATTGAAACAAAAAAAGATCAACACATTATTTTTGTGTTAGTATGTTTATATAGCTATAAATTTATTCTGATAATAACTATAAGATCTGTAACTAATAAATGAAATCTTTCGAATACTATTTCTGATNCTTAAAATGGCTTTAAGGCGCTTTCTCTGAAAGATGTGTTGCAATGTAATAAATGGATTATCAAGAATAAGATAGCAGAAGATTTCACAAAAACAAAACTGCTATAAAAACAGCCATTTTTCAAACTTTTTTAATGAATATTTTCCAAAAATTCAACACTTTTGAAAAATATTAATTAATCAGTGCAAAGGGTACTATTACGGACTTTGAACTTTTTCTCAGATATAGTCTTATATTCTGGGCAGGAACTTATCAAAACACTGAAATGTTGCAGAATTGTGATCTTTTGAACCAAGATGTCTTTGTAAAGGAACATAGAACTAGAAAATATTTTCCGAAAAACCATCTTTACAAATATTTTTCAATGATCATTCTATTCATAAGATATTTAACTTGTGATCATTGTCGATCGAAATCTTTTCATTCAATTTTGGAGATTTTACTCTTTAGCCAATCCAAATTTTATGAAGATTTTGTTTCTTTCTCAAATGACCTATCAAAGTCACAGTTTTGGGGGCGCTTCAAGCTTTCTTCATAATTCGTTTTCTACTTTAGAAGGCTCTATATTAAAACTCATTGATTTTTTCTTTGCAGAGAATCCAATGTTAGCATGTCCATCGAAAATTATGAATTATACACGATTATTGGTTCTTTCAAATAGAACCACTTTCAATTATACACGCTATCAATATATATATCGTGCAGTATCCGCACGTTCTGTACTGTTATTTGAATTTTATCAGGAACCCAGTTATTGGTGTCTAGATGATATTTCTGTCACGAAGTTGAATACCACTGTAAATTTAATAATCAATGGTGGATTTGAAACAGGAGAACTCTCACCATTTTTATATTGTACCAGATCGATTACGCAATCATCTGGAACAGTTTATCGCGGTTATGCTTACACTGGTATTTTCAGTTACCGTGATGGTAGTACTATTACTGGTAATTACATATGGCAAGAATTCACAACTATTCCGTATGAACAATATTTGATCACATTTTCACTGAAAAATCTCGGTCCAGCACCCAATGCTGCTTATGTCACTATTGCTTCATTAAACAAAACAGGTGAAACCTTTTTCTTAATTCACAAGTCAATAATTGCACATATATTAATCTTCTAGGGCAAGCAACGAGTGCTCCAACAACTACTGTACGACAGACTACAAGTAATAGATAAAAGAAGAATGCCTAACTGTAGTATAAATTTAAGCATGTTTCATAGTTGATAGCTAACTGGAGACTTTTACTTTCGAATGCGCGACTGATTAAAAATTTTAGGACACTTCCAAAACGAACATCTAACGCTTTATTTTTTTATAATGATTTCTGAAAAATTGAATCAAATACAATTGGAATTTTTTTTTTATGTAAAGAACCGTTTACAAGAATTTTGATAATCTTTGCATGCTATGTCATGACTTGTGCCTTCAACTATTGAAGTTTACACCTAGCTTTGAAAATCTTTGTCAATTTTTTCTGGTTTTTGAATTGAGAAGAAAATTTGTTTAAAGTATTGAAATACTTCAAGTACTAAGAGAAACATAATTGCTTGATTCTCTCCTGGTGATTTTTTGTCAATATCTCTATGAAGAAGTAGATATTGATGTTTAAAGGAACAAAAACAGTTTTGAAGTAATTGAAATAAAAATTTTTTCGCCGAGTTATATAACAAAACAAATTCTTTTAGATTATTACTATTAGAAAATCCAAGAAATAAAAAAACACAATTATATATGATTGAATAAAATCAGATTTTAAATTGTTATTGTTGAGAAAACACCTTGATTTTGTTTGCCAGTGTACGTAAAAGGGTAAACGATTTTAAAACGTACTCTACTGTTAAATGATAGCGACAAGTTTCTTCAAGTGTTAAGTAAAAATCGAACCTGAAATCATGTTTTATGGAAGTATGTTGCTTTTAATTCAGTCAAATAATGACTGTAAATAGCAAATAGTGATGATGATGTATCAAAAGTCCCTCAATATCAAATATTCTCTTTTGTATCTAGATCTAACAACTACGACTTATCGCACTAATGTATCAAGTTAGTTATATTCTTTTTGAAAAGAAAATCATTTATATTTTAATCTTTTTGTGTCACTTTTCAGCTACCATTCCATTGTGTCCTAATCCACCGCTAATTGCTAATAGAACAGTAACATTACTCTCACGTGTAAATTCATCAGCATTTAATTATACATATTTTCGATATACATATCGCGCAATATCGAATCTTACGACTTTAACATTTGCCTTCTACAATGCGCCAAGTTATTGGTGTTTAGATGATATATCTGTTATTAAAATAAACGATACTGTTAACTTAATCAATAATGGTGGATTTGAAACAGGTTCAACATCTTACTATTCAGTATGTGATCCATTCAGTGCGAATCCAGCGGGCTATGTTTCTAGAGAATGTCCACATTCAGGTTTATATAGTTTTTATGATGGTAGTTATTTACCTGGTGATTACTTAAGTCAAACATTTACAACTAATATTGAAAAAGATTATGAAATTAGTTTTTGGCTACGTAATTTAGGATCAATACCGAATTCGATTAAAGTTACTGTTACCGGAAATGGTAAAAAAATATCTTCTTATAATTGAAGTTTAATTGAATTTTGTCTTTTAGTTATTTCTTCTTATTCAACAATAAATCAGACTACGAATCCAGGTAAGAGAGAGAAACATTGAAGAATTTTATTCTAAAGATCTTGTTTCTTTTTTTTTCTTATCAAAGCAACGACAACTCTTTCAACAACACCAATTACTGTAACCCAATGTCCATCATTACCAAAAAATTCAACAACAGTATTACTCCCTATTGAAAACTCATCTTCGTTTAATTATACATATTTTTCATTCATTTATCATGCCACATCGAATCGCACTCTACTATCATTTGCATTTCGACAGGAACCTTCTTATTGGTGTTTAGATGATATTTCTGTTAAATTGAATAATACTAATTCGAATATATTGATCAATGGTGACTTCGAAACGGGTGTACTTACTGGATACTCTGTTTGTAATCAGAATTCGAGTACATTCTCTGGTGGTATTGCAAATATTCGATGTGCCCGTAGGGGACAATATGGTTTTTATGATGGTAGCTATGCTAGTTTTGATTATCTCTGGCAAGTATTAACAACAATTCCAGACAAGTATTATGAAATTAGTTTTTGGTTGCTTAATTTGGGTTTACCACCGAATTCATTCAAGGCTACTATTGGACCATACATTATGTCAAGCGGTATGATTAAATAAAATTAAATAGCCATTCAAGATCATATTTGATTTTCTTCTGATTTTTAGTATCAACAACAACCACTAAAGCAACGACAACACGCCTTACTACTACAAGTAAGTAAAGTATATAACGAAGTTTTAAAAGCTTTCCTGACAATTACATTTTATGGTCCCATTCAAATTTGACGATCTAAATAAAATGATAGCGTATTCTATCTAAATGGATAATCATAATATATAGTAAAAAATACAAATTTTTTTCGTTTCTTCAATAATCTGTACACTGTTATAGAGTTCTTAGTAAATTTGAATAGTTTCCAACATTCTTTCACTCGTTTTTTTCGGATTTTCTTCTTCAAAAAGCTTTTATAACAAATTCGTTCTTGCATTTTCATTTATTCGTCATCAGTCGATCAATAATTGATTTTTATACACCACTCGAATGACATTATTTTGATATTTTTCTTTTTATACTTTTTTAGCTCCATCTACAATTCAATCATGTCCACCATCGTTTCAAAATACTACACGTTTACTTTCGATTGTCAATGCAGGCTCATTTAATTACACTCGTTATTCTTATACCTATGTTGCAAAATTTTCTCGCACTACACTGATATTTGCTTTTTCACATGAGCCGGCATGGTGGTGTCTCGATGATATTTCAGTACAATTGAACAACTCAGGCGAATATATTGTTGATGGAAGCTTTGAATCGGGTTTTCTTTCATCTTATTCACTATGTAACCCATCGAGTTCATCATCTACTGGTGAAATATATACAGAATGTTTACATACGGGTAGCTACAGTTATATTGATGGTAGTTATCCAAAACCGGATTATTTAAGTCAAACATTTTCAACACAACCACAAAATGTATACAAAATTAGTTTTTGGCTTCGCAATTTAGGTTCAACACCGAATTCGATGAATGTTACAATTTATTGACAGAAATATATTTTTTCCAAGATGACTTGTTTTCTTCATCTAACACTTATTTAGACAACTTTTACGTGTGCCCTTTTCCTAATTACGTTTGTTTCTTTTCTACTAACCTCACTTCTGATTAAGCTTTACACAATTCCTTAGGTTTTAGAATAAAACTTTCAAAAAAGTTATCGGCTTGTCCAAACGTAACGCTGTTACGTTTTTGACACACTGTTCTTCAATTAACTCGGAAGGTTTAACAACTAGAATGTTCATTCAGACGCCATTCGACACAGCTTATCAAACTCTATTTATGCTATAAGAACGACCTTTTTCGGCTGAAGTCTCGAACGTCTAGAAAGGTTTTATGATCGCGTAACGCTGTTACATAAAAAGACCCT